ATAACGAAGCTAATTAGTTTAGACTGAGTATTTATTGCAATACGTAATAACGAAGCTAATTAGTTTAGACTGAGTATTTATTGCAACATGTACTAACGAAACTGATTGTTTAGACTGAGTATTTATTGCGACACATGTAATAATGAAGCTAATTAGTTTAGACTGAGTATTTATTGCGACACATGTAATAATGAAGCTAATTAGTTTAGACTGAGTATTTATTGCAACATGTACTAACGAAGCTGATTGTTTAGACTGAGTATTTATTGCGACACATGTAATAATGAAGCTAATTAGTTTAGACTGAGTATTTATTGCAACACGTAATAACGAAGCTAATTAGTTTAGACTGAGTATTTATTGCAACACGTAATAACGAAGCTAATTAGTTTAGACTGAGTATTTATTGCAACACGTAATAACGAAGCTAATTAGTTTAGACTGAGTATTTATTGCGACACGTAATAACGAAGCTAATTAGTTTAGACTGAGTATTTATTGCGACACACGTAATAACGAAGCTAATTAGTTTAGACTGAGTATTTATTGCGACACGTAATAACGAAGCTAATTAGTTTAGACTGAGTATTTATTGCGACACGTAATAACGAAGCTAATTAGTTTAGACCGAGTATTTATTGCGACACGTAATAACGAAGCTAATTAGTTTAGACCGAGTATTTATTGCAACACGTAATAATGAAGCTAATTAGTTTAGACTGAGTATTTATTTCAATAGTAGTTTTAGTATGTGCTGAACATAACTAAACTTGTCAACAACTAATGTATTTGGTGTGCTTAAATGAATTATTTTTGTTGCAGTAACAATTTCGTTGTTATTTAACTTCTTTTTATTCCAATTAAAGCTTGTAGTACCACTTTCGTTTACTACAATTATTAGCTCAATTAGTGTGATCCAGTTTACTAAAGTAATTAATAAATTCGATGGGATCCAGTTTATTAAAGTTAGTGTGATTCATTTTAGGACAGTAATTAACAAATCATATGTAATCAATTTTGCAGTAATTAAGACATTTATTATGACACAACATAATGAAACAATTAGTTCCAGTGTAGTTGACTCACTTAGAGAGAATAAACTTTAAAGGTTATCAGTCACTTTGGGTTACAGCAAATAACCAACAACTAGACAAGGTTTTTCTGTTAAAGTTGATAAAAAATTAAATATCTTGTACATAATATTTTGATGGTTTTGCTGTACATTTTGTGATTCTTATGCTATTCTTCATTGAATTCTAAAATAAATGTGTTTAATCTGTGTTTTATATGATATCTATTTTGTGATGCAAGAGTTTCTTCATTCATAGGGATCTTTTTTTTTTTGTATAAATCTTTTCCTGTCTGTAATTGATTCTGTTTTGTTTAGTTTGGTCACCAGCTGAAAGAAAACTATGACAATATAATGAGGGATATTGATGAAGAAGACCTGGATACACTAGCTCATGCTCGCAGTTTTTCTGTTAGTTCTATGGCCAAAACCTCATCCACTGCTTCCAGTGGAATGGAACCTACTGACCAGCAAGATCCTTTAACTATTGTACAAAAGGTTATATCCCATTCGTCAGTTAGAAAAAATACAGAATTTAGACGAAGTCTGGGTTCTAATTTAGTGTCAAGTCGTGTATTATTTGAACACGGCCAGCCGAGGAGTTCATTCATTCGAAGAGACTCGATAAAGTCTAGTAGCAGTAGTAGTGGGTGTTCTAGTGTAAGCACTCCCACCAATGATCAAATAGTCTTTGAGGCAGATTTTCCTGTAGGCACCATTAAACGAAAACCTAGCATGGCACCAAAGATTCCACTTACTAGCACAACTCGCATCATAGCTAAACAGTCTATGACCGAAGATTTTCGCAACAGCATTGTTAGCCTGGACACTGTACAGGAAAGCAACACAACTGTCGGTGCTAACACACTTGGTAGAAACTCTATGGCTCGAATGAGTTTACGTCGATCTCACCCAGAGGATGAAATTACTTTATCAAAGCTGTCTGTTGATTCAGGCACCTTAACGAAACATATCGAGAAACTTCAAGCAGTTACTTATGGTGCTGTTGACAGTTGTACAAAAACATTGGTTAATAATATCAGTGACGATGACGAACTTCCACCACCACCACCAGAAGCTTTCAACAGTGGAGGAAGTACCCTCAGCTTGGACTCCTTACCTCCACCTCCTTCATCACTTCATGATCAGGTTAGTTGGCCCAGTACATCAAGTTTAAATTCACTGCCCCCTCCACCTAGTGAAATTACACAGAGGTTAGAAGATGGTAAATCACTTGAGGTAGGCTCTTATCTAACGTGTCAGGATGAACTGAAATGTCCACAGAATGCCCCAGCTGTGCCACCTAAACCAGTATATTGTAAAGAATACAGGTCATTAGAGGCGGAAAATCTCGTGTTCTGCTTGCATCAGGATGAGAGTAGTGTTACACCACTGTTAAGTCAGAAAGTTGAAATTCCTGTAGGTAGCTGTTGTGGCACTCAGCAACAGTCTATAGAATGCCCAAAAAGTCCCGAGCATGGGTCTTTAAAACGGCGTGTTTCCTTTTCCTACTCACCAACTGAGAGAAAACTTGTGGTGGCTTCAAGTTCTAGCCAATCACAGCTCTTAAACCAAGATATCATCAGCCCTAATCAGATTAATAATACTTACCAAAAACCTGAACCTCCCAGAAGAAGTGAAACTACAAGACTATCAGGTCGATTCCCTGCTACTCGTAGATCATCTTTCTCTGTCATGAGCTGTTGTGGCCAAAATGACCAACAGCGAAATGTAACAACTCCTCATCATTTTCTTCGTGATTTACAACGAGTTATGGAAAAGAAGTGGAAGGTTGCCCAGCAGTTATCAGCTGATCTGACAGCAACTCCACACCAAATAATGGGTTTCAGAGACCCGTGTTTCCTGCCCCCTGAATTCTCCTCCACTCTTTCTCACACACCACTTCATCCTCCCGATTCCTGCCATACTGATCCCTGTCCAAAACACCATCATCATCACCTTCAACAGTATCCAGATGGACATCAAAAACAAAATGTTTTCGCTAAAAAGAAACTGCCTCCACCACCACCAAAGAGAAGTGAAACTACTCACTTAACTAGAAGGCAGTAACTGTTCCCTGAATAGTGTCCGAGCTGTTTACTTTCATGGACCGACTGGTAGGATCTGCTACAAGGCAGTAACTATTCCCTGAATAGCGTCCGAGCTGTTTACTTTCATGGACCCACTGGTAGGATCTGCTACAAGGCAGTAACTATTCCCTGAATAGCGTCCGAGCTGTTTACTTTCATGGACCCACTGGTAGGATCTGCTACAAGGCAGTAACTATTCCCTGGATAGTGTCCGAGCTGTTTACTTTCATGGACCGACTGGTAGGATCTGCTACAAGGCAGTAACTATTCCCTGAATAGCGTCCGAGCTGTTTACTTTCATGGACCCACTGGTAGGATCTGCTAGAAGGCAGTAACTATTCCCTGAATAGTGTCCCAAAAACAGACACAAACATCATTCATATGGTAGAGATTTATATAATGTAACAGTGAGTCAACAGATTTCCCAAAACTCGTCAGACCAGGAAGAAGCAGCTGGTTTTTTTATTTTACTTAATTATCTTCTGTTTTCCTTCCACAGCTTTGTTAAACAAAGTGGGTTCATTGTAATCCACTAAAACTTTAAAAACAACATTTCTTAATGAATTATTGCAAACCCTGTGAGGAATCTTGTATTAAATATGGTATCAGAAGACTCAGCTCGGAAATAGAAGACTTTTTCGTAGATAGTGAAAAATAATAAATTCATAATATCCTGATGTGAACTGGAGAAGTTACGTAAGTTAATTTCAATCAAATAGGTTTTTTTTGTTGTTGTTGTTGTCTAATTCTGAACTTTTATATAAAAAGTACCATGGTTTTTAACGTACTTAATTATTAGTGTTTTAATAAATAAAACATGTCAATTAAATTTTAAAAACAAATTTTTGAGTATCACAAGTGTTTCTGGTTTGTTAATTTTGTGATAGAATTATATAATGTCATACATTATAATTTTAAGTTTATAAGATCCAGGAATAAGTTTCAGTTTTTATTTTACACAGTTCAAGAAAGATGTCCGAGCATCTTTTGTGTTGTATTTGTAGGTTTAAGTTTGTAAACCTGATATGATTGTAAGTTGTTTCAGTGTATCTCTGCATTTAATTGTTTAGGGTATCTTAAGGATGTTTAAAAGTCCAGTTATTAAATACGTTTTGAATAAAATGGTCCAAAAATGTATCCATGAGTCCACTTTTACCTGCTGGTCAGGTGTAAAAAAAAATTAGAATCAAACTTTAAGATCTAAGTAGAAGATATTAATTTTGATGATTATGTAAATATGAACATAATTTGTTCTTAATTCTTTAACATGCTTGCGTGATGTCATTTTCATGAATTCACATTCAAGATATTTTATTAATATTCAGAATCTCGCAAGAACAATAATGCAGTGTCGATCAGTAGCAAAGACTGAACATGACTTTGAGTGAAGTTAATAGTAGATTAAACAAAACATTTAAAATTTGTAACTTTTTTTATTCATGTACAGTAATAATAATTCTCCCTTTTCAGTTGCTCAGTATTAACCAGTGTTTCTGTAGCAGTTCTTTTATTTAGGGTGTCATTTACATATTGGAGAAATTTATGTTTACTGTGATGACTTTGTGCGAAGATTAACTTTACCTTTTGAGCATAATTTACTAGAGTTGTTTCCAAACTTTCTTTCACTGATAACACCCTAATCCACTTGCTGTGGTTTGTGCAATGCCCCTGCCGCCACGTAAAATAGTTTTTTTATAGTAGTTTTTATGATCTCTATTATTGTTCATTTGGTGAAACTCTCGTGACATCCCTAGAAACTTAGTTTGGAAATCACAGGTATAGTAAAACTAAATAGTAACATTATATACTAGAGAAAGGAACCATTGATAGAACACATTTGATAAACTTTGAACCAACTAACCTTATTGGTTTTTTTTCCATGTTATATCTGTCTAATCAGAAATTTTGTTACTAAACTTTTCCTTACGTTTGTAAACAAAAAAAATTTTGGTGTAATATTTAAAAATACTGTTTAACCAGGTAGAAAAATGATCTATGTAGTTATACTTGTAGCAAAGATGCTGGTTCTCTAAAGTTTATTATTTTAGTACTTGTTTAGTTAGAAGACTGCCTCGACACAAGAATTGATCAGTAATTTATTAAATCATTTTGTTAGTAGGAGTAGGAATCGTACACAGAGCTCTGTACAGCCTGTGTACGGGCCCCAAAATTGTGGCCTCTTCAAACTTTATACTTTAAGACATAAAACTAAAAGTTTTTTGTATCATAATTACAAATAAATTAAACTCCAGAAGTTGTTTTATTTTCTCAGCGTTTCGGCTTTACACCTTCATCAGGAGAATATAATAAACTCTAGGTCATAATTTGATTGTTAGAGATTATTACAGAAACCGTATTCTCTTGATGAACGTGTAAAGCCGAAACATTGAGCAAATACGACAACTTGCAAAATTTTTGGGAGCTTAAAGTTGTTTTATTTGTAATATGCTCCAGTCAGCAATACTTAAATGAAAAATTTAAAGACTGTTCTTTTATCTTATCCACCTCCTGACCATGTAAACTGATAACAAACTTAGTACAATATTCTTTCCATCCCATTAATGTACTGTCTGAAATGTGTCTTTTAAACACATAAAACAATGATGTTTAAAATTATTTTATTTTATATTCCAAAATTTTGTGGATCTCCAAAAAACTGAAATTATTGTGGTTCAAAAATATTGAATGTGTCATAAACATGGTTCGCTAATAAAAAAAACAACACTGTTTGACATTTTTAGAGTTGTTTTGTACTTGATTTAACTGCACACTTTCATAGTCAGCAAGGTTCTTAACTTAAAACCTGTTTATATTTGTGTAATGATAGAAGTTCTGATATAAGATAATTAAGAAATTGGTTTTGGAGAATATACTTATCCATGAATCAAAGCTGTAATATGAATTTTTTTTTTATCTGTTTTGTTTTATGAAGTTTTGGACATTGTTTCAAAATCAGTTTTATAATGAATTTGATCTTTATAGGTGGTGTTTTTGTTAGTTTTCTGTTTTTGGTATAAGTACACAAACATGCATAAAGAAACGTTTTTTCAACTTTTTAGAAATATTTACACCTTTTATAGTATTTTTTTTCTCAACACAAATCAGCACATATTTAAATCACATTCCAAACATGCTCTTTGTAAACTTTAACGGCTTTTCTACCCACAATTAAGTTAACACTTTTAGGAACAAAAGTTCATAAATTAAAAAAAAACGAAAATACTCAGTGGAATGTATTTTTAAAAACTGTTATTTTTCACTTTTTTGGAAATTTGATTGGTTCTTGTTTCTGTATTACAAAGTTATTTTGGAATAAACAAACAATACCATAGAAAAGTATTCCCAAAAAAGATATCTTTAGGCTTAGGACAACACTTGGTAAATTTTGAACGTGGTGATATTTAATTGTTTGCCTTTTTTTTTCAGCTGTATAATTTCCTTGCTGTTTTCCTTATAATTTAGTTTGTGGCTAATTATTTTGAATTATGTATTTTACTTGATCATTCACACACTTTATTTTTGCTATTAACTGTTGCTGTTTTAACCAAAAGTTAAAAACATGGGTTATGTGCACTCTGTCCACTGCAGGGAATCAAACCCAAAATGTTTGGAAAATTTTCAAGTTTTAAGAACGTAAAAAAGAACATTGTGATGAGAAATCGTCCTGTAATTTTCTATCTTGTATCAGACTTTTACAACCTGCCAACCACAGGTTCGATTCCCTTCATCAAACGCTCGCTTTTTCAACAGTGGGAGCTCTATAATATAATAGTCAATCCCACTTTCTGTTGGTAAAGAGTAGCTCAAGAGTTAGAATTGAGTAGTATAGGCTAGCTGCCTTCCCTCTGATCTGTCACTTCTAACTTAGGTATGGCTGGCACAGATAGCCTCACGAGCAGCTTTGCATGAAATTCAACAATTAAACACTTTTGAAAACTAATGTCTTGCTCAATGCTCGGGTTTTTTTAGGTTTCTGTTTTGATAAGCTCACCAGGTTTTAATTTTTTCTTACAATTGTGAACCACACTTCTGAGTTGTGTGTGAAACAGTTACTAAACTGTTGATAAAGTAAATTACTAGTACTTGGAAATAACTGTGTTAGTATTTCAATATAACGTTCATATTATATGGCTTGAATTAACCTGCAAAAGATAACCTACCATGAGTGACTTTTTCTTTAGAAATTAACCCTAATTCTGATGGTTATCTTAGGGATGTAACATATATAAATATTACACATGGCCAATGATTTTTTTACTAACCTCTCCTCTAGTGAGATATTTTGAACCAGTTTGTTTCTGGTTGGTGATCCAGCTGAAATTAAACTATGATTAGAAGTGTACCGTGTGTGTAGAATTTTGAATGGCTGTTTGTACATTTTATTTTTTAACTTAACAAAAATTGCCTCCATTATTATTTTAATTATATTTCACTCTTGCTTTGATTTCCTTCCTCAATAAAGTAGGATCCTAAAATTGAATGGTTTAAAATAAATAAATCCAATAATTGTTCTGTATAAAAGAAAATCTCAGGGTATTATAAATACATCAATGGGTTTAAGTTCTGTAGAACAGATTTGAAGTTGTTGCAGTATAAAGATGTTTCTTTATGAAGGTGAAATATGTGCCCATGTGTAGACCAGCTGTTACAAAAGTAGTATTGAGATTAATGTTGTGTGTATATAATAAGTTTATGTATAAAAACCCTTCCACTGAAGATCTTATTAAAGTTCTCAATGTTTGTTTGGTAATAGAGAAGAATAAATGTGTGGAGTCTACAGAATAAAATGTAAGCACAGAAACACACAACATGGTACATCAACTAATGAAGGCTGAATCAAAGAAACGTTTGTTTGGTAATAGAGAAGAATAAATGTGTGGAGTCTACAGAATAAAATGTAAGCACACAAACACACAGAAGTTTTATTATTTCTGATATGATTTCCTTGAATGATATTCTTCATAGACTTACCAGACATCATTTTATATTTGGAAGTTGGCCTAAATTAATAGTTTCTCTTGAACCATTAACTCATTTCTGCAAGTAGTTACATATTTTTTAATTTGCAGTTATAAAAATTGATGGATACCTTGTTAAAGACAGAGATTTACATGTAGAATTATTATTAATTAATGTATTTCGTGTGTACACAATGTTTTCTATGAAGATTATAGTTTTTAAAAAGTGGAGTTTCCATCAGTAAAACAGAATGCCCTCTTGTACTTCAATCTAAAGCTCCAGTATTTATAAACAAAAGGATGAATATTATTCCCCCACTCCCTAATACTGTAATGTGTTATATAGTTGAATTAGTTGGTAAAAATAATGCCAAGTTCAGTTCACATAATATAACTAATGAAGACTGAAACAAAGGAATGTTTCATCATCTGGTTAATTAACACTTGTTGTTAGAATGCTAGACTGGTACATTAACTAATGAAGGCTGAAACAAAGGAATGTTTCATCATCTGGTTAATTAACACTGTTAGAATCACTAGACTGGTACATCAACTAAGTGAAGGATGAAACAAAGGAATGTTTCATCATCTGGTTAATTAACACTGTTAGAATGCTAGACTGGTACATCAACTAATGAAGGATGAAACAAAGGAATGTTTCATCATCTGGTTAATTAACACTGTTAGAATGCTAGACTGGTACATCAACTAATGAAGGATGAAACAAAGGAACGTTTCATCATCTGGTTAATTAACACTGTTAGAATGCTAGACTGGTAACAGATCAACAACTGAAAACAAACCTTTATTAGCTCTGTTGTATAATTCGCTGGTTTGATGTTTTTATAGCCTTGCAGGTTTATCAAGAGAAGAAAATGACAACTTTTATAGAAGTTTATTTTAAGAACTTTCATAGTTTACAGTACTAGTTTTTACTTTTACAGAAAACTGGTTGATTAAAATATACAATCTAAAGACAAGAATTAAACAATTTATTAAAACTGAGAACTTTTTAATAAAGTCCACATAGTCTATCTGTACAATGTATGAACAATTACACCAGTGGTGACAATTTCAATGTACTAACAAAAAATGATTTCTGTGGCTATGAACTGATTAATTCAGCAGAACATTTGTTACTACCCAGTACGTCAATTGTTGAAATCTAGTTACATACAGATAGCTGATACAGTAAATTAGAGATCAAGAAGTTACTAAGATTTATTTTGAAAACAGATAAATTAGACATAGAAAATTATTAAAACAAATGTAACGTTTATTGTCTGAAAGCAATATCGTAATACATTAAGCTGTGACCTTAGAACTAACCCACCAGTGGCTGTTGACAGGTCACAAAGAAATAATTTACAGCAAATATGGATTTTATGTCTTATCCAATCTGCCAGACACAGTTGGGAAACATTCCATCTAGACTGTACAGGACGTTACTAACACTTTAGAGTCAAGATAAAGACCGAGGACTTGGGATAGATGTACTATCAAGGTAAACATAAAAGTTTTGAGAATGGTCTCTCCAATCTATGTGTTGCTGTAGACATGCAGAAAGATGTAACATATTGTCACTGGTCATTGTGAAATGGTACATTATATTCTACACAAGCTATGATTTGGCTGCTTGTTGATCTCAAATACACTGATATAAATGTACGCAGATCCTTGTCAGTAACTTGCTGATCTCAAATACACTGATATAAGTGTATGCAGATCCTTATCAGTAACTTGCTGATCTCAAATACACTGATATAAATGTATGCAGATCCTTGTCAGTAACTTGCTGATCTCAAATACACTGATATAAATGTATGCAGATCCTTGTCAGTAACTTGCTGATCTCAAATACACTGATATAAATGTAGGCAGATCCTTGTCAGTAACTTGCTGATCTCAAATACACTGACTGATATAAGTGTATGCAGATCCTTGTCAGTAACATGCTGATCTCAAATACACTGATATAAATGTATGCAGATCCTGGTCAGTAACATGCTGATATCAAATAAGAAATATTTAATTATTAGTTATAGACTTTATGGTGAAATCTTTAAAAAACAAACTGTCGTACTACATTTCTACCAATTGGCCCATGCATATGGCAGAGCTTTAAAGAAATATCCTATTTTACTAATGTTTATAACTACATCATCCTCCACGAGTTTGAGAACAAGTTAACATTCCTGAGTTTCTAATGGTTATTTCCGTTTCGAGGCCGACACAATAATACATTTTTCACTAAAACTAACTATACCTACTGTTCTTACCAATGTTTGATATCTATATTTCATACAGATTTTCCTACTACTCATGGTCAATCCTTTACATTATATGCAACTTCACAAAGAAAACATCTGCTTTAGTCATATCTGCAACCAGAATTGTGTACAACAATATTATCTACAGATATAAACTATTGTTGTTATACTTCAACACCGTATAAATTAATGTCACTACTTAGTACCAGGAAGTGAAAAACACAACCAGCTTAAAACAGTCACAACTGATGTCACTACTTAGTACCAGGAAGTGAAAAACACAACCAGCTTAAAACAGTCACAACTGATGTCACTACTTAGTACCAGGAAGTGAAAAACACAACCAGCTTAAAACAGTCACAACTGATGTCACTACTTAGTACCAGGGAGTGGAAAACACAACCAGCTTAAAACAGTCACAACTAATGTCACTACTTAATATCAGGGAGTGACAAACACAACCATCTTAAAACAGTCACAACTATTGTCACTACTTAGTACTAGGAAGTGAAAAACATAACAGCTTAAAACAGTCACAACTGATGTCACTACTTAGTACTAGGAAGTGAAAACACAACCATCTTAAAACAGTCACAACTATGTCACTACTTAGTACCAGGGAGTGAAAAACACAACCAGCTTAAAACAGTCACAACTGATGTCACTACTTAGTACTAGGAAGTGAAAAACACAACCAGCTTAAAACAGTCACAACTGATGTCACTACTTAGTACCAGGAAGTGAAAAACACAACCAGCTTAAAACAGTCACAACTGATGTCACTACTTAGTACCAGGAAGTGACAAACACAACCATCTTAAAACAGTCACAACTGATGTCACTACTTAGTACCAGGGAGTGACAAACAAAAGGTTCTAATAATCAATAGTGGAATGAATGAAATGCTGTGATATGTACTGGTATCTTTAAAGGATAAACTTCTGAGAACAAAGTACACTTCAAAAAGAAAACTATCATTTCACAGTCATAATTAAATAAATATTTGAAAGAACTTTATATTTTTTGTGTGATAAAAATACATTTTGAATTAAGTTTTTACACTTCCACACGTGTTTTAAAATTTCCCCTGCAGGTTGAAATATCCCAGACATAAGTTCAGTTGGGCCTATTTAACATGATTTTTGACTAGCTTGTATCAATGTGTGGAATGACGACAAAAGAAACTTGCCAAAACAATCAAAGAGTACCTATACTCAACAAGTTTGTGCAACAAACAACACTGTTCAGAAAACTTTGGTTTTGTTAATGTTACACTTATACTTGTATTTTGTTGTTTTCTAACTTATAAGACCGATGTTTGACAACAGCTCTGTATGTCATCCTTTAACCAGACATTTCAAGACCATCACTGCCTTCCATTATGATCATATTTCATTGACAGAGGTGAAAACATAAACGTATTGTTTCAGTAGATAAAGAAAGTCCTATTTTTCATTAAAGTGTCACTTAAGTTCATTGGAAGTTAGGTAAACGATGCTTCATAAGAAACAACATTCAAAACCATTATACTATAGATCAATTTTTATTTAATGTTTTATAACTAAAATTGACATGTAAACTCAACCATTTCAAGCTTCATGTTTTCATTTCTAAATACAGCAAATGTACAACGTTTTGACAATATATCCATGTCAGTGTAAAATACTTGTATCTGATGATGACAAAACCTTGTCGAAACGTTGTACATTACCCATTCAAGCCGTCTCCAACCATTATTAGTCTCAAAGTGGGTTCCTCGTCATTGAATCTGAATTAATGTTAACTTTTGATTTAGATCAATAAATACTATATGGTAAACCAATAATTACTGGATAATATCTTGATATTAGTGTTCTTTATAAACATTAGAATGGTATATGTGTGCACCAAATGTTTTGGTCATTAAGGAAGAAAACAAGGGCAGTCAGCATGGTTCAAAATGTTACAACTAAATAATGAGCAACATTTACTAGCAAGTTTGGTTTCCTTCTATTAATAAGTATTGTATGCAATTTAAATCGTGTACACTAAATCTACAAAATATATACTTCAAATAACCAAGTTTTCATCTTTCAATGACATAAGGCCTACTTGTGCACAGAGGGGTGGTGAAAAGTGGATATTTGTGACCATTTTCAGTAAAGTTGTTCTAAAGTATGCTATAAAGATTTGAACGACACTTAGAACAAAAGTTGGTTAATGTAACTGAGCCAAATTACTTTTCTTCCAGCTGATACAACCAACAAATCGAGTCATCAAACCCTACTAACGTGACAAAAATAGCCACTTTAACAATGTGCTAATACACAGCAACAAAGGATGTTTGACATCAACATCTCTCTGTTGATAGTACTATCCATCTCTAAGTATATACACTCATATATCAGTTGAAAATAATCCACTATATATCCTGAACAACATAACTGAAAACTAATTTAGGATATTTGAATCAAGAAATGTTTCACAAATACTGGCACTGAATAAACGAAAATTAATACTGGAGTTTTTTTATATACTGGAAATCTTTCTGCTTATGAGCAGCACTCATTAATATATGCAAAACCAAATCTACGACAAAGGAAACGCAAAACTACCATCAACTATCATTTTTTTAATTGTTGATCGTGGTGTTTTATAAATTTGAAATTATTATTAGATTCTCATCATTTGTCAAGCTTAATTACCAATATATATATACAAGTGGAAGTGTTCACTGTTAGGTCAACTCTTTATTAGAAACTAACACCTATTGGTTTAATAGAATAACTATTGGTAGCTTAACTTGAAGTACAGCACTAAAGTTAGATATGGCTCAACTTTCTGGAATCAAGACAATTCATTTCAACTACACTCCTTTGAAACAGTTACTTCTCCCGCTGGATCTTCTTCTATTCTGGAGGAGTTTTCTCCATCTGTAACCAGAACATGAAGGACTTTATGTATTTTAAAGGTAATATATCATTATTATTTGAAGAAAATAATTTGATGTTAACACTATCTAACAATAAATTAGTTTCCTTACTGTTACAGGCTTCTATCATTTGTACACATTGTAGACCTTAGTTTGGAAATAACGTTTTTTACTTTCAATAGAAATTTACCTGCTAATGTAGTAGTACTACTACTATGATTACTGTAAGATAAACTTACTTTTAAGTTGTGTAATTTCACAGTCAATTGATTGACAAACTGACTATACATGATAACTAACACCAAAATAAATACTCCACTAACTTCTCAATCACTGAATGAACTGGAAACTGACTCAATTCTTCACTGATTCTTGTATTAATAAAGTATTCTTGTTCCTAGATATTTTGCAAAGTCTCTCAATCTTTAACATTTTAGATATCCTAGAACTACTAGTATAAATTTTCTAGCAAAGAACCATATTAAAAACTTACAACAGTATGAAAAAAACTATACTTCATCTATTATAAACTACATAGAGCTCATATATATACTTCTGAGGTAGTATACGAACAAAAACTATACACCGGCTATGAAAAACAGCAAAGTTAAAAAAAACTTTCAGCCACTTATTCAATACCTCTTTCTTTTTTAACCATAATAAAGTTGGGTGTGTAATACTAATACAAATGTGTAATGAATAACTAACACTTGAGATTTGAAAACTACATTTACAAAAATGCTTAATAAAAAAAACTTACTTCATCTGCATCCCTTTGTACATTTGGTAAATGTCATAAGTTTATAAAGTATACTCTTACAGAGGTGTCAGACACTAGTGTTTGGTAAATGTCATAAGTTTATAAAGCATACTCTTACAGACTTTATAAACTTATGACATTTACCAAACGCTAGTGTCTGACACCTCTGTAAGAGTATACTTTATAAACTTATGACATTTACCAAACACTAGTGTCTGACACCTATACTCTTACAGAGGTGTCAGACACTAGCGTTTGGTAAATGTCATAACTTTATAAAGCATACTCTTACAGAGGTGTCAGACACTAGCGTTTGGTAAATGTGATAACTTTATAAAGCATACTCTTACAGAGGTGTCAGACACTAGCATTTGGTAAATGTCATAACTTTATAAAGTATACTCTTACAGAGGTGTCAGACACTAGTGTTTGGTAAATGTCATAAGTTTATAAAGTATACTCTTACAGAGGTGTCAGACACTAGCGTTTGGTAAATGTCATAACTTTATAAAATATACTCTTACAGAGGTGTCAGACACTAGCGTTTGGTAAATGTCATAAGTTTATAAAGTATACTCTTACAGAGGTGTCAGACACTAGCGTTTGGTAAATGTCATAAGTTTATAAAGCATACTCTTACAGAGGTGTCAGATACTGGTGTTTGGTAAATGTGATAACTTTATAAAGCATACTCTTACAGAGGTGTCAGACACTAGCATTTGGTAAATGTGATAACTTTATAAAGCATACTCTTACAGAGGTGTCAGACACTAGCGTTTGGTAAATGTCATAAGTTTATAAAACATACTCTTACAGAGGTGTCAGACACTAGCGTTTGGTAAATGTCATAAGTTTATAAAA